CCACCTCCCTGAGGTCAGCTCCATTTCCTGCACTGCCCCGATACCTCCAGCTCCCATCCTCAGTGAGAGGAGGCTACACTTCTGAAGCAGACAGCTTGGCATTTAAGCAGTGGTCCCCCTGGGCCAGTGTGGGGAGGGAATGGAAGTGGATGTTCCTTTCAGGACAGGTGGCCAAAGGGTAGGAGACTGAGTGGTTCAGCATCGGGGGTAGGTTACACAGCGAGAGGGCAAAGGGCACCTCCTGAAAAATGGGAATCGGGGGTCGGGAGCTGGCCTGGGGCCGCAGCACCGGGGAAGGTAGGGGCTGCTGTGGGATCAGCTGCACTGCAGGTTCCAGGGGGCTGGGGGCCTCCACCTTGGGGCTGCTGTCTTGAGTAGCATAGCTCCTGCTCTCGGGGATGTCCAACTCCCACGGGTGATCTGAATTCTGGGTGTCAGTCTCGGTCTTGGTGGCATCAGGGGGAGGGCCCATGTTGATGGCCGCGTTCATGCCATAGCGCCGTCGCTTGTTAATCCAGTACAACAGCGGGCTGTAGGTAAATGCGGCTGCTCGCATCACCTCCATCCACTCCCGGGCACGCCTTTCCCGCCGCAGGTTCTTCCTCCAGTGCAGAAAGAGAATGCAGCCGCCGGTTATCACAGAACACAGCCCCAGGAATCCAAAGTACAGTGGCACCCACACTAAGGAAGGCAATAAGAAAAAAAGCAAGCTGGCTGATAGCTGTAGCTTGGGGTCTCAGCTGTTTCTCATTCCTCTGCTTAGCCCTTTCACCAATCGTTCCCTCCACTTAACCACTCTCTCCATTCCTTCCTTTTCTCATTGACTGGCCTCATCATTCTTTTATTCAGTCAAAGCAGGATTTCCAGGGAGTTTAAGAGGCCACCTTTCGCTCTTCACAGATAAGAAAAGCTAGGTCTAGAGGGGCACGACCTGCCCAGGCTTACTCAAGCCTCTGGTTCCCAACCCTGGCCCCGTCTGATCCATCAGAATGAGAAGCCTCACTAAAGGCAAAGCCCATCAAGAAAGTAAAAGTTTACCAGTCGACGGGACACCAATATCCCATCCCATTCCACCATACCGCTAACCATTCAGCTGTGATGTCCTGGGGTATTTGTGGTACCCCCTCTGGGCTGTCAGAGAGACATGGTCTACGCCCTCAAGAAATCCATAGTTTTCTAGAGGAAACCCTGTCCTAACTCTTAGCATGCTTCCACACAGGCAGCCATCACCCCCATCCATGCAAAAGGTCTTCCCTGAGTGCCCCCAAACCTAGGGCATAAAGCAGGGGGCAGGGATTTGGGGAGGGAGCACATTTACCACCAGGGAGGCTGAGGTCCTCCCTTTGGGAATCCATAATGTCAAACCTTGGTACCTAGCTGGCCGACGGCTCTGGGGAGAGGGAGTTCACCTACCCATCTGTCTAGCCAATAGGAGTCCCCAGAATTCCCAGACCCCATTGTTCCCTAAAGGTGGTTCACAGAGTTCTGAACACTGAGCATCCAAGGGCGATGCTTGTGAAGTCTAATGGAAGGAACAGACTCCACCAGTGGTGTTTCCTAGGCCTAGTGCGTCTCTACTGCTTCTACCAGGGACTGACCCACCCTCTGAATTGTCGGCCCCCTACCTCTGACCTACAGAGCAGCCCCCAGGAAAGGGCCCTAGATTCCTCGGGGGCTTATTTTGTCCCTAGGCTTTAAGGAACAGTTGATGGATCCCTGGGCAGGGAGCACCCAGAGCAGTGGGCAGCCCTGCCGTCAAGTCTGCTATGACTGACTTGTCAGGAGACAACCCACTCAAGGGAGCTATGTGGTCAACACCTCCTTCCTTGGCTCTTACAATTTCTCTTTTGTTTCATTACCTTCCTTCAATGAGTATTGGCAAGTGCTTCCGGGGCATCAGGCCGAATGGGAGCTCCCCACCATCTGGCCCTACATCTCTTTTCAGCTTCACCTTCCTCCCCATCCTTCACACACCTTTCCCTTCTGACCAGACCCTGCTTAACAGACCCTGCTTATTCACATCTCTGGAGCATTGCTCACACTGCTCCTCCACCTAGGAGTGCCCCTCCCCACTCTCCCCACCACTGAACACCTGCTTATCCTTCAAGGCTCAGCTCAACACCCCCTACTCTGTGACAAAGTTCTTTCAGTTGGCTTCCCAGAATCACACCGTCTCCAGTTTGAAGGCACTTTGAGAGTTGTGTAGTCCAACTCCCAGCACATGATTGAGCCCTAGAGGCAGATCTCCCCTACCCAGCACTAATACGTGGGGAATTGCTTGGGTCAGGGACTTGCCCACACCTCCTGAAGCAGCTTCATCCATTTATGGGCAGCTCAGTTAGAAAGCCCTCCCCTAACTAAACCCACGTCAGCCTGCCTGAAGGTTGCACCACTAGGCCTAGCTCAGCTTCTGGGCACCATCTAAGTACTTCCCTCTTTAAGTCCCCAGCGTGGGACTTGGGACACTAATGAGCACAGATTTCTCTCCAGGTTCCACTTACTCTGGGCTCTACCTCACTGGCTTCTGCTTTTCAGTCTCCTTTGCTAGTTTCTCCTCTTTTCCCTGATCTCTAAATGTCAGGTGCCCGAGGGCTCAGTCCTCAGCCCTCTGTCCACATTCATTCCCTCAGTGATCTCACCCAGACTCATGGCTTTAAATAGCATATCTACCATATATACACTGTCAACTCTCAACGTTGTACCTCCAGCCCAGACCATTCCTCAGGACTTTAGACTCATACTCCCAAAAGCCTGGCTGACATCCCTCCTTGCCAGTCTGTTATCTCAAACTACCATGTCCAAAACCAAACTCCTGATGGTCCATCTCCAAAACCTGCTCCAGCCTCCTCCTCTCTGTAAGTGGCAACTCTCTCCCTCCAGTTGTTCAGGCCAAAAACCTGACAGTCACCCCTGACGCCCTTCATTCTTTCACACCCACGTTCACTCCAGTAGCAAAATCTTTAGGCTTTGCCTTCAAAACATACCCAGAATCTGACCATTTTTCTATCATCATCACTTTAATACAAGTACCACCCTCTCTCACCTGGTCTCCCTTTAGGGTGATCAACCATCCCTGTTTGCCTGGGACTGAGGCAGTTTCCAGGACATAGGACTTTTGATGCTAAAATCAGGAAAATCCCAGGTAAACTAGGACAAACTAATCACCCTTGGGAGAGCTTGCATCCTTGTCCCCCACGCCCTATATTCCACCAGCAGTCAGAATGAGCCTTTTTAATTTTTTTTATTATAAATTATTTTTATTTCTTTATTTATTTTTGGCTGTGTTGGGTCTTCGTTGCTATGTGCAGGCTTTCTCTAGTTGCTGCAAGTGGGGGCTACTCTTCGTTGCAGTGCGTGGGCTTCTCATTGAAGTGGCTTCTCTTGTTGCGGAGCACGGGCTTTAGGCGCGGTCTTCAGTAGCTGTGGCTCATGGGCTCTAGACACAGGCTCAGTAGTTGTGGCACACAGGCTTAGTCACTCCACGACATGTGGGATCTTCCCGGACCAGGGATCGAACCCGTGTCCCCTGCATTGGCAGGCAGATTCTTAACCACTGCACTACCAAGGAGGACCCTCACTCAGATTTAAAACCAAAGTCCTTAACCAAAGCCTACAAAGCCCTGAACGATCAAACTACCCCTCCCCATGCCTCCTTCGCACAATAACCTTCTTGCTGTTCCACAAGCAGGGCAAGCGTGCTCCTGCATCAAGGCCTTTGCACTTGCTATTCCATCTGGAAGGCTCTTCCCCCAGGTATCCACACAGACCATGCCTTCAGGTCTCTGCTCAGCTGGCCCCTTAGCTCTGTCTCTCCTAGCCTGCTTTGTTTCTTCATAACGTGTATTATCACCTAACATTATTTATGTACGTATGTAGGTATGTATACATATTGTGTCTCACCCCACTAGAATGTAAGCTCCATGAATTAATGTAAACAAGGAAATAAATACTTAAGAATTTCAGGTAGCCTTAACTGCTCTGAAGAAAATAAGGTAGTGGGATAAAGAATATAAAGTGATGGGGGTGCATCAAGAAAAGTCCCTTTGAGGTGCTGACTTGTGAACTGAGCCCTAGATGATGAGGAGATAGCCACGTGCAAAGGGAGCAGCCAGTGCAAGGATGCTAAGGCAGGTACAGGCTGGCGCACTTAAAGGACTTGCTAATCTCAGGGTTTACCACACTACTCCCAGCACAGGCCAGGGCCCAAGGCCCATCTCCGAAAGTGCAGGCTGGACTGAGCAGAGTTGAAGGCACTGTCCCTGACCCTAAGAGGTCCATCATTCAAGACGGGTTTTTATCAGGTAAGACCCGACAGGAGGACTTTCATGAGGGCAGACTGATCAATGCCATCACAGGGGGCCTGCTCCAGGACTGGCCCTGTGCTGGGCGCAGGTGAGACCAGGTGTTGATGTCACTGTTCTTGACCCCAGGAGTTCACTCACACCTGGTTCAGGGGGTGAAGAAGATGGTGGCATTGGGTGGAGAGACAGCATTCCAGGTATAAAGACTTGTCAAGGACAAATCCAGGTGTCTTTGGGGAGAAGCGTAGTTCAGTTTGGCTGGAGTTCAAGGTGGGTGTCAGGAAGCAGAGGAAGAAAAGGCTTCGGAGGCAGCTGGCATCTTTAAAAGAATTCAGCCCTTGGACAAGTCTTGGACAAGTCTCTTAATGATTCTCAGCTTCAGTTTCCTCGTCTATAAAATGGGGATAAAACCTGCCTCACACAGTATGAAGCAAATAGTGTCCTGCACATAGAAACGCTCAATAAAGAGAAGCTGCTACTGTGATTACAGCTGATGAAAGGGCCTTCGATGCTGAAGGATGACTACTCCAGTACGTGCCTAAAGAATTTAAAAGGGAGCAAGCTCGGTGAGGACCAGTAGGTCCGAGCAGCTTTCAAGAGGAGACTTAACCCGCAAGGGCTGCTGGTCGCAGGCTCGGCGAGAAGGCTGGGCGGGGGCGCTAAAGCTGCAGAGCACGCGGGGCGCGGGCGGGGCCCGGGGCAGGAGCGGCGAAGCCCCTGCCTCCCACCGCGCCCTTCACCGGCTCCCGGAACCTTGCGTGCGCGGAACCTCGCTGCTGGAGCGCGGGCGCGGCGGACCCGGAGGGCAATGGAGCGGGCGCGCGGGCCGCGGGCCGAGGCCGACGTGCCCGGGGAGGAGGAGGAGGAGGAGGAGGAGGAGGCGGGGGCAGCCATGGCTGCCGTGGTGGCGGCAGCGGGTGGCGCGGGCCCGGCCGTCCTGCAGGTGGCCGGCCTCTACCGCGGCCTGTGCGCGGTGCGCAGCCGCGCCCTGGGCCTGGGGCTCGTGTCACCCGCGCAGCTGCGCGTGTTCCCGGTGCGCCGCGGCTCGGGCCGGCCCGCGGGGGGCGTCGAAAGCAGCGGGGTCGGGAAAGAGATCGAGGCTAACCCCTTCTACGACCGCTACCGCGACAAGATCCAGCAGCTGCGCAGGTGCGGGCCCGGCCGGCGGCGGGCGGCGGGCAGGGAGGAGGGGCGGCGCTCGGCCCGCGCTCCTGGTGTATCTGTATCTGGCGCTCTCAGCCCTTCCAGCAGCCCTGCTAGAGGATCACTGGCACTGCCCCCACTCTACAGATGATTATCTAGGCTCAGAGAGGCTTGGTCACTTGCCTAAGATCACACAGCTAGTGTGAGAGCCGGGAGTCTCTGCGAAGCCCCAGTTGTCTTTCTGTCTGCTTTAGTTCTCAAAACGCTGAGGTCGACTCTTACGACAGCCCTTAAGAGGCAGGCAACTCCGAGAGACCTGTACTCATTATCGAAATGGGAAAAATGGAGCCTTCCAGAGAAGGGACTTGACTTGCTCAAGGTCACCTATTGAGGCAGCTGAGCCTTGTCCTAGGACTCGGGTTCCCAGGCTTCTAGCTGAGGACCCTGACTGTAAGGAAAGGAGATTGGGTGGGGGCAGGGCATCAAAGATTAATAGTGTTACAGTTGGCTCTCAGTTGAACTCTCTCATTAAGATGAGAAAACTGAGGATCAGAGAGAGTTAAGAGGCCTGCCAAAGGTCACACAGCTGGTTGGGATTTCTCTGACTTGGAATCCGGGGTTCCTAACACTACCCTTCACCTTCCAGAGAGAAGGACCTGGAGATTAGAGGAGGTTGAGGTGGGTATAAGGGGGCCTTGGAGGGTCCAAAGAGTTGAACTGGGAAGAGCTGAAAGAGATCAAAAGTGAAAATCGAAGGGACTTGGGAGAGAATCTGGCAGGGTGGGCACAGTTGTCTTAGGAAAGGAAACCTAAGACTGATGCTGTAACTTCTTTGAGTTCTAGCTCATCTCTACTTCCACAGCCTTAATTTACTCTATCATCTTCACCCAGAATATTGCAGTCATCCTCTAACTCAGCGGTCCCCAACCATTTTGGCACCAGGGGCCGGTTTTGTGGAAGACAATTTTTCCACAGACTGCCGTGGTGGGGGGCGGGTTACGGTTTCGGGATGGTTCAAGTACATTACATTTTATGTGCACTTTATTTCTGTTATTGTTACATTGTAATATATAGTGAAATAATTATACAACTCACCATAATGCAGAACCGGTGGGAGCCCTGAGCTTGTTTTCACTTGCCACTCACTGATAGGGTTTTTTTGTTTCGTTTTGTTTTGGTTTGGTTTATTTTGCAATACGCGGGCCTCTCACTGTTGTGGCCTCTCCCGTTGCGGAGCACAGGCTCCGGACGCGCAGGCTCAGCGGCCATGGCTCACGGGCCCAGCCGCTCCGCGGCATGTGGGATCTTCCCAGACCGGGGCACGAACCCGTGTCCCCTGCATCGGCAGGCGGACTCTCAACCACTGCGCCACCAGGGAAGCCCCAAGACATTTATTTATTTATTTATTTGGTCACACTGTGCAGCATGTGGGACCTTAGTTCCCCAACCAGGGATTGAACCTGTGCCCCCTGCATTGGGAGCGTGGAGTCTTAGCCACTGGACCGCCAGGGAAGTCCCTACTGATAGGGTTTTGACAGGAGTCTGCAAGCAATTGATTTATTATGGTCTCTGTGCAGTCAAACCTCTCTGCTAATGATACAGAGAGGTTTGTATTTGCAGCCACTGTATTTGTCTGTATTTGCAGTCTGTATTTGCAGCCACTCCCCAGCGCTAGCATCAGCGCCTCACCTCCACCTCAGATTATCAGGCATTAGATACTCATAAGGAACGCACAACCTAGATCCCTCACGTGCGCAGTTCACAGTAGGGTTTGCGCTCCTATGAGACTGATGCTGCCGCTGATCTGACAGGAGGCGGAGCTCAGGCAGTAATGCGAGGGATGGAGAGTGGCTGTAAATACAGAATGAAACTTCGCTCGCTTGCCCGCTGCTTGCCTCCTGCTGTGTGGCCCAGTTCCTAACAGGCCACGGAATGGTACCGGTCCGTGGCCCGGGGCTTGGGGACCCCTGCTCTAACTAGTCTTCCTCACTTCTGGTCTTAGACCCATCTACCCCCAGTCCATGTCACTGCTACTATAATGATCTTTCTTTGAAAGAATGACAGAATAAATGAATGAGGATTTTTGCTCTCCTTCAACAGCATTCAGATATACTCAAGTATTTGTCATCTTAAAAACCTTTTCTTGACCTACATTCCCCTTCAGCCTTTCCTCACTGATCCCTTTCACAGACAGGCATCTCAGAAGAGTGGTCTACTAATATTCTGAATACTTCACAGCTCCTGTTCATTCCTATTCATGAACAAATGAATGACTGGTTTTACTTTCCTTCCCCACTAGATCATTCCTGTGTCAGTGTTTACACATACTACTGCTGTCTCCTAAAGAGTGGCTTTCCAAGGCCACTCCATATCCTTAGTGTTCCATGCAAGGCCCTTGTGCTCTAGTACCTGCCAGTCTCCCTAGCTTTATCTAATACCAAAACTTCCTTTTAGCTCTATGGCCCAGCGCAAAGGAATAAAGGACTGACGTTGGGGGCAGGTGTTCCAGGTATGGGGAGCAACAGAGCCTGAAACGACCTTAGCCATTTGGGAATATCTGAGCAAATTTTCATCTTAATACCTGTAGCACTCTCATGTACTTATTTACATGTCCTTCTGTCCTACTAGATAGTAAGCTCCTTGAGGTAGGGACTCTTTCTTATTTATTTCTGTATCTCTGAAGCCCAGCAAGTCAACCAACAGGCGAGAGACAACAAGTCAAGTTTGTTGAATGAGTGAAAGGGAGAGAGGAAGGAATAAGTTCTAGAAGAAGTTGAGTGAGATGGGAGGGAAAACTGCGGCTACAAAAGGGAAAAGAACACAAGGTAGAGGAAAAGGGAGGTATGCAGTGAAAGCAGGGCCAAGACAGGATCAGTAGAACCTGGGCCAAGTCATCGAGGAAAGAGGCAAGACAGAGCTTCACCGTGAGGCCCAAGACCAACAGGTGGGCTATCGTGAGATATTTTAAAAGGAATTATAGTCCTGATTGGTTAGTGCTGCAGCATACTCACTAAAACCTGGGCTCTTGGAGCACTTATAACCCCAGTTCAGTGTGAGCCAACAGCAAGACAAGGCTGTGTGCCCTGCTGACCCCACTCCAGGCCAGTACCTGGGTTTCTGCGTCACACTCTACACTGGTGAGAGCTTTAGGTCCACTGTATCTAGAGTGTGCATAAACGAACATGCCCAGAGAGAAGGTCCACAGTAAGGAATGATTTACAAATCATGTATATGAAGAGAGGCTGAAAAAACTGAAGAAATTCAACCTAGAGAAACTTAGGAGGTGACATAAGAGCAATTTTCAGGTACTCATAAAAAGAACTAGACATTTTCTCTTGTTCCTGGGGGAGTGAAAGATACAGAGAGGTAGACTTAGACTCAAAATGTTTTAGTAATGAAAGATGTCCAGGGTGAGAGTACACAGGGCTCCACTGCCTGGGCCACCCCTCACCATCTCCATCTGCTCACTGGCAACACTAACCTAGTCCCTGGTACTTGCAGCCCTGGCCAGGCAGGTGCCACACCCTACCAGGTGAGGCCCTTGGTGCAGCTCTTCATCGAGGAGGAGCTGGCCTTCTCCGGAAGGAAGGACGATCTATCCAAGTACATGGCAGTGAAGGGAGTGGTGTTCGACATCACCTCCAGAAAGAGTTACATGGAGGACGAGCGCCCTCCATTGCCTTGACCAAGAAGGACCAGAGGGGTAACCAGGATGCCCTTGGAGCCTGCAGACGTCACCCATGACACGACAGGTCTCATGGCCTGGGAGCTGGAGCCCCTGGATGACATCTTCACCAAAGTGTACACAGCCAGATATTGTCAGCTACACAGCCTGAAGCATTCTTAACAGAGGGCAGCCCCAACCCGGACTTGACGCCTGAAGACCAGCCCCATTGTGACATAAGGACAAATTCTGATGATCCATCAACTGGAGCAGGTTCTTTGGAGAGAGGGTCAGGGAGAACTCAGGTGCTAAATCTGCAAAATAGGCTGCCTGAAGCCTCTGAGTTGCTGGGATCTGAATAAATAGAGATTTGCCCTAGTCGGGGAGGGAAGGGACATGTCTGAGAATTAGAGGCGTTCCAGTAAGCGCTGGACACCTGGGATTCCTGCCTGAGGATTCTTGCATCTAACCCAGCAAGATGACCACAAAGTACCTTTCCTATCTTAAGGATTTAAATTCCAAATACCCAGAGTGTAAGTACCTGAGGGAGCAAGCCCTGTGTCACCCTAGGGAATATCCTGCAGGAGAAAAATGTTACACAGGCCCCTTGAGGAGTAATAACAGTTGAATAAGTGGATTTCTCTTTCCGCTTTCTTGATTTGTAGGCCTGTGCTCAGGCCTAACTAAATTAAGACAAATCCTTCGGCCTCTGACTGTGTCCTCTCTCTGTGAAAGTGGAACATGGTGCTTTGTTATTTCAAAATCCAGAAAGGCGGGCTTCCCTGGTGGCGCAGTGGTTAAGAATCCGTCTGCCAGTGCAGGGGACACGGGTTCAAGCCCTGGTCCAGGAAGATCCCACATGCTGCAAAGCAGCTAAGCCCGTGCGCCACAACTACTGAGCCTGCACTCTAGAGCCCATGAGCCGCAACTACTGAGCCTGCATGCCAAAACTACTGAAGCCCGCGCACCTAGAGCCCGTGCTCTGCACAAGAGAAGCCACTGCAATGAGAAGCCCGCGCACCACAACGAAGAGTAGCCCCTGCTCTCCACAACTAGAGACAAACCCGTGTGCAGCAACGAAGACCCAACGCAGCCAAAAATAAATTAAATAAATAAATTTATTTAAGAAAGAAAGGCCCAGGTTGTTTATCCTTTGGTTTACCTTTGATCAGGTCTGACCCAACTGCTTTTGAGTCCCGACTGGAGAAGTGCAGTGAGTTTCGGAAGCAGCCAGTGGGGCACTCCAAGCAAGGTGACTTTATCAAATGTGTGGAACAGAAGGTAAGACCTACCCCTTTGGGTGTTGTTGGCTCACCAGTGCTCTACATCCCCACCCCTGACCCTTATCCTGGGAGTGGGCTCATTGAGGGGATCAGCTCCATCCATAAATGGTATACTGCTCCTTCTGGCAAGGTACTGTAGTCATGGTGGAGATATAAGGGGATGAAAAGGGTAATCTCTGCTCCCAGGGGGTATAGTCGAGTGGTCAAGGCACACATGTAGGGATCAGGGAGGGAAAAAGTGCTTAATACATGTTAGCTCTTATTACCCTTAAACAAGAATCAGAGCTGGGGAAAAGCATGCTGAAAGCTGTGTATAGTCAGCCCTCCCTATCTGCAGGTTCTGCATCCACAGATTTTGCATCTGTGGATCCAGCCAACAGCTGATAGAAAGTATTCAGGGGAAAAAAAAAACTGTAGAAAGTTCCAAAAAGCAACACTTGAGTTTACCACTTACAGGTAGCTATTTACATAGCATTTATTGTATTTACAACTATTTACATAGAATTTACATTGTATTAGGTATTATAAGTATGATGATTTAAAGTGTATGGGAAGATGTGCGTAGGTTATATGCAAATACTACACCATTTTATATAAGAGACTTGAGCACCTACAGATTCTGGTGTCTTCAGGTGTCCTGGAACCAATCCCTGACTGATACCAGGGGACAATTGTATAGGAAGATTAATGCAGTGCTTCTCAAACTTTTTGACCATAACCCACGGTAAGAAATATATTTTACATTGCAATTCATTACACATATATGTATATAATTATAACTGAAACAAATGCTTACTTTTACTATTGATACATGCAATGCACTCTTATTATTATTTTCATCTTTTAAAAAACTTTGGCCACAGTCCACTAAATTGATTTCACAACCTATGATTTGAAAAATACTAATCTAAGGTGGTGTACAGAACAAATTGGAGGGGGGAGAGGCAAAACCAGGGAGAATATATCCAGGTGTGGGCTGCAGGGGCCTGAAATAAGGTAGTTACAGTGGAAAATTGGGGTTCTACATTGTAAAAGGAGAGATGTTTATTTCACTTGGAAAATAACTTTTTTTGCCTTGGGTATCCTAAATTTTAAGAGAATCCACTCAGTCTTTTAATAACTGGTTGAGTTAATTAGAATAAGAATAGTTAATGGGTTAATCATTACAAGGTTGGGGAGAAATTCAACCTGTGATAAACGTAGTTTACAATTTTATATGAACAAATAACTTTCTACTACAAATATTTTATCAAATGTAATTTCCTTTAGCAAACATAGTGTCAAGATTACAAATAAATAGCTATGGGAAATATTACTGTATTATAAACTTTCAATATTATCTGGGAAGGCTTTTTGAAACAAGACTTAGAAATTCAGCTTTACGATGACAAGAGCAGAATAAGTAAAGATTTAATTTAAATTATGGCAACTCTTAGGTAAATATTCACTTACTGTCTTTCTTACCTAGCTAGAGGAAGGCTAATAGCTAATGGCTACATTTCTAAAGCCTTTTCTTTACTTTGAGTCATTGGTTCCCTACCACGTGATACCCAACATCCCCTTTTTATAATAAATTGTATTTAATTCCCTCTAATTCTACCCTGAAATGAAATGTAGACAATATAACCCACCTACACACATAATTTCAGGGGGAAAAATAAATATAATGCCTTAACTGTAATAAAGGGAAGTATTTTTTAAATAAAATACAGATTTCAGCATGTAAGTTCTTGGGCACAACTATGCTGTGAGACCTAGTACAGTCATCAGGTTCTTTCACCTCTGTATGGAATCACCATGAATACGTAAGCAACAAATGCAAACTGGTACGGGATGTTGGTAATTATAAAAACTCCCAAACCATAAGCAGTGTTGTTATCAGTGACCCTCATGAGATTCCACAATGTACAGTCTTCTCTTAAGTTACATAGTAGTTGCATTTCTGAAAAATTCAGTATTGAATAAAACTGTTTAAAAAAAGAGAAAGAAAGAGAAAGGAAAGGAAGGAGGGAGGGAGGAAGGAGGGAGGGAGGAAGGAGGGAAGGTCTGGCTAGCATTGGAAAGTTGTGTGGGATGAGAGAAAATTCATTATGTAGAACTCATCTGCAAAATTGCAGCTCATTTAGCACCACTGCCTCTCCCATAAATGCAGGTGAAACCATCCAGTCAATTATTGTGATAACAAAAAAACAGGTCCCCATAGGTTTCCAAAGCATCTGTAGTAGACATGCTTTAAATGTTTCATTAATTGCTCTTGAGACTTTGGGCACATAGGGTGTATCCAGTAGGTTTTTCTACAGCACGCTTTTGTCTAGTTTGTGGGTACTGGTTCTACCGACATCATTTATGAAAGGTTTGGATTCATTAAAGCACAGAGTAATGAAAAACAGGGTTTAATGCAGAAAGTATGTTTCAGCTTCAGAATCCCAGGTGTGGATTGCACTCCTCTCTGAAAGGCACAGAAATTGAATGGAAAACTCAGAACAACACATCCCTACTGTCAGAAACAACTCAAAATTGTATTTCCTGGCCGTGACCTTTATCTGAGAGTGGGCTAGGAGAGAAAATAATCACTTTCAGTTGTTCCTAGCCTTTTTTGAGGGGGAGTCTAATTTGAGGGAGGGAATACTAAGATGGAGTACTAGAAAAGACTCAATAGTCTGCTGAGGTTGCCTGACTTCAGAAATGCTGTCACAGATAAGAAGCAGCTTGGAAAATACATCATTCCATTCTTACCTCCTCTGTGGCTCACTGGGAAAGAGAGCACAGGAAACCCGAGTAGGCTTGTTCTGGGAAGGATTCCCTCATCCATGGTGGCAGGGATATAATGGACTCTCAGTACCAGTAGATGGTGTTTACTAACAAAGAACTCCTTTCTCATCTCTCTATCTCAGAATCAGTCAAAGAAAAGTTGTCTCACAAACAGTAACTCTTAGTATGTACAGTTACTGTATAGGGTGGAGAGAAGTGAGTTCTGAGGTGCAACATTACTAAATGAGTTACTGGGCACCTCACCTAGGGAGGGTGGTCTTCTTCTTAAGAGTATAGATTAATATCCTGTCCCACTGTATATTTCAGACAGACACATTGGGGAAACAGCGTATGAGCAGAGGATTCACCAAGGACAAGGTAGGTTTTTAATTAAATATCCAAGCGTAAATTCATATGGAACATCTATAACAAGAGGCTGCAAGTTTGAACATATTTACTGTGGTTCAGTGATTTTGTGATTTTCTAACTGTGGAGATGAGAGCTATTTCTACGAATTTTTGTTATGACCTTGATATGACTCCTAGTATAGTGTGGGTCCTGGGGGTGCTAGAGGAAATGTGAAGGAAATGTAGTGTACTACTTACTACTTTCTATAGGAAGTAGATTTTATTTTTTTGGCCACGCTGCGCAGCATGCGGGATCTTAGTTCTCCAACCAGGGATTGAACCTGTGCCCCCTGCGGTGGAAATGTGGAGTCATAACTACTGGACTGCCAGGGAAGTCCCAGGAAGTAGTTTTAAAAAATCAAATAAAAACATGTTTACTCTGTCATTTAACTTGCAAATAAGGAGGCACTTCTGGCAGAATAGCAGTTAAAGGTAACAACCGAACTTTCTCCTCTTAGGAGCTGCAAAGTGCTGCAACACTTTAGTGAGCGTGAAACATTTGCGAAGTACCAGTAGATATCCCCTGAAAATAGAACTGTGAAACCTGCCCTGGGGGCTCCCTTTTCTGAGCATGTGGGTTTTCTTATACTCATTCTCCACTTATTGAAGATCTGCTTTACTGTCCTCCCATGTTGCTTCCCACAAGGCTTACAGATAGAGTTAAACTGTTTTATTTTTTTAATTGTGGGTGTTAATTGCCTTTTATTTTCTCTTTCAGACCCTCAGTTCAATCTTTAACATTGAGATGGTGAAAGACAAAACTGCAGAAGAAATAAAACAGGTAATGAATGAAAATGAATTGTCATACTTTATGAAAATGTGTGCTCTGTGAACCAAATCTGAAAGTAGAAAGGAGCATACATTTCCTGACACCTCTTTCTAGCCAAAATGAAAGGCAATCATTGAAAACAAAAGTGATGAATTACATGAAAAATAGTGCATACAAAAACTTGGTCTCACTCCTATATATCTAATCAACTGACATTTCCCCTTTCTTTTTCATTCCTGTTGTCCACATCTTATTTAAAATCATCACTACTCTATGCCTGGATGACTACCTTTCTAAATAGGTTTCCCTGCTCTTATTTCTCCCACCCCCTCTCCCCCTATCATATCCTCACCAGTTCAATCCTCCTAAAGTTCTACTTCGCATAGTGTATTGGTTAAAACACAGACTCTAGGACCAAGCTGCCAGTTTTAAGTCCTAGCTCTGCCACTTACTAGCGGAATGACTTTGATAAGTTAGTTAACTTTTGGGGGCCTCAGATTCCCTATCTGTAAAGTGGACATAATAATAGTACTTACCTCATGGAGTTATTTGGGGAATTAAATGAGTTAATATTTATAAAGTACTTGGAACAGTGCCTGGCACAGAATAAGTGCTATATTTGTGTTTTTAAATAAATAAATAAAAATAAATATTATGTTAGTAACCTGCTCTCAAATATTCAGTGACTTCCCATATTCCTTTGCTTGACATTCAGAGTCCTCCATTATTTTAGGAACTTCTGCAGGAAGCTTCCTGGACACCTTCAAACCACGTGTGATCTATTCCGCTTGTTTGGTCATTCCATATACTAGGCATTCCATATTACTTGAATTAGCATTTGTAAATGCTATTTACATTTTCACATCTGATTCTTTAATTAGAATATAATAAGCTATTTATTGGCATTCCTTATAGTTCCATGAATTATATTTTAGGTATATTGAGAGAATCAAAATAATAATAAAAGCAGTGTACTACGTGTCAGGTACTGTACTTAGTGCTTTATATACACTATTTCATTGTATTGTCATAACCCCCTTATAAAGTAGGTGCTATTATTCCCAATTTACAGCTGAGGAAACTGTAACTTAAAGACATGAAGCAACTTAGTGGCAGAGCTAGGACTCAAACCCTTGTCTGTTTGACTCTACATCATATTCCCTTACGGGAACCTGTGCCAATTGCTGTGGGTGTCCTTGAACGCTGTGTCATTGATTTCAGCAGACAGTTATTAAATGTCAGCCTCTGTGCCAGGCATAGAAATAAATGAGAGAATCCCCAGCTCTCAAGGGGTTTCAGCCTAGTGGAAAGACAGAAAAACAAAAAGAAAACAGAGCAGAGTTCTAACTTCTGTTAATAGAGGCTTAATGCAAAGTCTCCAGGAGACCTCAAACTGCCTTTGGGAAGAAGTGCCAATAGAAAGTGGACACCAGGCATGTCCTTTAGGGGGGAGAGAAGCCAGGCCCAGGAGGCCTGATAATCATATGACAAATATCACTTAGACCTATATTTTTAGATACGAATTTGTGTTCATTAATATAATTTTGAGTAACCAAGGTCAACTATGTTAGGGAACGTCTGTCAGTCTCATAAACTCAGTGTGGATTCATAAAATATCTTCTAATACAAATTAAATAAAAATAAGCTGGATATGCTGTCCTTAAAATGAGGAGAGAGGGCTTCCCTGGTGGCGCAGTGGTTGAGAGTCCGCCTGCCGATGCAGCGGACACGGGTTTGTGCCCCGGTCCAGGAAGATCCCACATGCCGCAGAGCGGCTGGGCCCGTGAGCCATGGCCGCTGAGCCTGCGCGTCTGGAGTCTGTGCTCCACAATGGGAGAGGCCACAACAGTGAGAGGCCCGTGTACCGCAAAAAAAAAAAAAAAAAAAAAAAAAAAAAAAAAGGTTTTTTAAAAAAAAAAAAAAAAAAAAAAAAGGAAAAAAAGAAAAGCAACCTTACTGCATTGATAGAGTAAGGTCCTAGGAGGTAATAGTCCTTCTGTGCTTTGTGTTGGTGAGATCACACTTTGATTAGTATCTTTAGTTGCCCCCCTCCCCCCCCCATTTTCATGGGAATGTTGACAAAGCAGAGCAGCTCTAAAGGAAGGTGACCCAGTCTTCAACACCAGCTCCCTCAGGTGTCACCTTAGCTATGATGCCTTCCCCAACCTCTATGCCTTTGCTACTGCTTGTCATTCTCTGCTTAGAATGTGTCTCTTATCTTCTCTCCTACCTGTTTTTCTTCCCAGACTCCCTGTTCACCTGGCTAACTCCTGATCATTCTTCAGGATACAGCTCAAGTGTCCCTTCCTCTGCCACTTGTTCCCTAACTTGGATTAAGTGCCTCTTTTTTGCCCTCGGAGCACCTTGGCTTTGGTTTGCATTGTAATTCTGTTGTGCTAAGCACAAACATTATTTCAGTAGTCTTCACAGTAATCCTCTAAGGTTAATATTACTATTTTATTGATGAGTATATTGATAGAATTTAGTGATTTCCAGTAGTTTTCCCAAAGTAGCAAAGCCAGCAAATGATAAGAGCTGGGATTTGCGTCCAGATCTGCCTGACTTCAGACCCTGGGTTCCGAATGACTGATCCTGGCTCTCTGAGAGGGCCCACAGTTGGCCGGACAGTGCGGGTTTGGGGAGAGAAGAGAGAACATATGATAAAAAAAAAGCTTGTCTGTTACACACAAGGCACACCCTGGGAGAAGTGATTAACAAGGTCTCAGAATCCGTTTCTCTGATAGGAATTTGTTATTAAGAGTTACACTTTAATCATCTGGAAGAGTAGGTTGTATTAAATCTTTTTTGTAATCATGTACTAGTAATAAAAGTATTACGTTGGGTTTTCCTCCCTGTTATCAAATAGCATATTACTCTGAGCAATGAAAGCTGTCACCACTTCTTGGTACAGGTTGAAAAGGTTACTGATGGTCACAGACACTCTCTCTTTTTTGTACAGATTTGGCAGCAGTATTTTGCAGCAAAAGATACAGTCTACGCAGTTATTCCTGTAAGTAGTTTGGAGGGGAAAATGAGAGTGTTATAACATGAAGGTCAGGGCTCTAACCTTAGCAGGCCAGTTGCTTTTACTTTTCCTATGTTTATTGCCTCTTGAGAACTTACATTTATAGCTCTGAGGGTTTTTATTATACCCTGAGCACCAAAGATTGGGAGCTCCATATGGTATATTTATGGCTTTTGTTTTTCATCTTTCTGGTTTAGAAATGTCTCTTTGAGTCAAGTCTCTGACAAGGGAGCATGGTGTAAGTTTATGTTGCTGAGCAATTTCCAAGTGTCTTTTATTTCTTTTTGGTGTTTTCCAGCCAAGCTGTTGGAATTTAGGACAAGGCCTCTGGCCTAGCTTTCTTCCCTTCCTGTCTGTGAGTGAGCTGTACCTGAGCTGACTTGGAGCTTCCTCCTAGTCTTTTTCTGGCATTTCCCCTTAGCAAGTGGCTTTTTTCTTTTTCCTTTCTCAAAATTGCTTTCTTGGAGATAGTAACGGGCTACTGCTTGACCATTAAGATCTGTGACTGGGAAGGAAGGCTGCCGACTTCTTCTGGTTTATGTCCTGCTGCCTTCTACCAGAAGAAAGCATTTAATGTACTGGGTTATCAGCTAGTTCTTTAATTGTTCTTCTCTGAAGAGGAAGTAGCTTTAGGTTAAGTTTATATCAAGCACCCAAATATATACTGAGCTTACACGTGTACGTTTAAGGAGGAAAACTTACAGATGGAAAAATAAAGCCAGGCCTTTTGGTTGTTGTGAGAGTATTGCTATCTTTTATTTTCTTTTAAGAAAATAAAAAGATCTTTTACATATATACCCTTTCCTTTCATGAGTGCAACATTCAGAAGGCTTGGCACTTTTCGTGATATTTTAGGTCTCCAATGCTGACTCATTGTTTGAACAGGCCTTCTTAGCTCTCCCTGGACAGACTCAGTGACCTGTTGTCTCTGACACTGGGCAGAGTCCCCTAAAGAGTTAGAGCATTTGCAGTATCCACTCTTCACACAGAATTCCGATATTGAACAGGAAAGCGTACCTCTACTTTTTCCTCTTTGTTGTAAGAGGGATTTGTAGATAATGGAACTTGGGGTTGTTTTAGTTGTATTTTAGTTCTAGAGTTCAGTCTTGGTGAATTTAAATGTGATTGTGGCCTTTTATGTTTTCTTGTTTTTGAATTTTATTCTTTTCTAACCTACAGAAAGAGAAGTTTGATTTGATCTGGAACCGAGCTCAGTCCTGTCCAACAGTAAGTGTCCAGTGACCATATGAGGATTGCTTATCAGTGCTGCCAGACAAGGATGTTTCCTAACCAATCTCTTCATGCTCCATACCATCTCACATGTTATAGTTATTTAACAAAGATGCTCACATATTGATTGTACTGATAAGTAAGATTTTTAGCCTTATGAAATCATGTGGATTTGGCCCAATGAGCCTGTGGCTGTTTAGCTCTCTGAAACGTCTCAGCCCTTTCTGATGTGGATCTTTATATTAATAGAAGTGAATGTTGGAAGCAATACCTGAGACCTTAATCTTTTCAGCCTCCTTTAAGTTTCTCTTTTATTGGCAGTTTCTTTTCAGCTTTGGCCATGCTATTTTGATTATATATACCTAAAAGGAATTATGAAATTGTTGCTGGGGTATTGAGCTGCCAGAAGACCTAAGAGAAAGGGAATAGGTGAGATGGATCAGCTGACTTGGTGTCTATACTAATTTCTAAGATTCTCAAAAAATGCTTCTAAACATTGCTGAGAGAAAATAAAAAACATCTAAGTAAATGGAGAGATATACTGTGTTGGATGACTCAATATTGTTGTCATTTCTCTCCAAAGTGATCTCTAGATAAAATATAATACCAATCAAAATCCTAATAGGCCTTTTTTTTCTTTTTTTTTAATTGACAAGCCAATTTTAAAAACTTATTTGGATATCCAAAGGACCTAGAATAACAAAACAATTTTGAAAAAGAAGAACAAATTTAGAGAACTTACATTACCTGATTTCAAGACTATGTTTTCATAAAGCTACAGTAGTGAAGACAGTGTGGTACCAGCATAAAGACAGACAAATAGATCAATGGAACAAAATAGAGAATTCAGAAGTAAACCAGCGTATGCATGGTCAGTTGTTTTTCAGCAAAGGTGCCAAGGTAATTAAATAGAGAAAGGATAATCTTTTCAATACATGTCCAACAAATTGTGCAAAACAATTTGAGTATCCATATGCAAAAAAATGAACCTCTACTCTTACCTCACACAGTATCCAAAAATTAACTCAAGATCTAGAAAAAGGGCTTCCCTTGTGGCACAGTGGTTGAGAGTCCGCCTGCCGATGTAGGGGACACGGGTTCATGCCCCGGTCTGGGAAGATCTCACATGCCGCAGAGATGCTGGGCCCGTGAGCCATGGCCGCTGAGCCTGCGCGTCCGGAGCCTGTGCTCCGCAACGGGAGAGGCCACAACAGTGAGAGGCCCACGTACCGCCAAAAAAAAAAAATGATCTAGAAAAAAAAATCTTAGATTGAATCTTAGTGACCTGGGCTTGGCAGAGATTTAAGTATCGATACCTCACAAAAAGCACAAAACCATAAAAGAAAAAATCAATAAATGAGATTTCATCAAAATTAAAATTTTCTCTTTGTATACCCATGTTCATAACAGCATTAGTCACAGTAGCCAAAGGGTAGAAGCAACACAAGTGTCCACTGATAGATGAATGGTTAAATAAAATGTGATACATACATGCAGTAGAACATTATTCAGCCTTATAAAGGAAGGAAATTCTGACACATGCTGCAACATTCATGAACCTTAAAGACATTACGCTAAGTGAAATAAGCCAGTCACAAAAGGACAAATACTGTATGATTCCACTTATATGAGGTACCTAGAATAGATTCATATACAGAAAGAAGGACAGTGGTTGGCAGGGGATGAGCGGAAAGCAGGGTGGGGAGTTACTGTTTAACGGGTATGGAGTTTCAGTTTGGGAAGATGAAAAAAGTTCTGGAGATGGATGGTGGTGAAGGTTTCACAGCATTGTGAATGGACTTAATGCCACTGAATGGTGCACTTTAAATGGTTAAAATGGTAACTGTTATGTCTATTTTACCACAATAAAAAAAATTAAAAATTTCTACTTTTCAAAAGACATTGTTGTGAAAATGAAAAGGTAAGCCACGGACTGGGAGAAAATAGTTGCAAACATATATTGACAAGTGACTTGTATATAGAATATACTAAAAACTCTTACAACTTTATAAGAGGACAAGCAACCCAATTTAAAAATGAGCAAAAGAGTCAGACAATTCACCAATGAAGTGCAATGAAAGTTATAAGATGTTCAACATCATTTGTCATAATGGGAATGCAAATTAAAACCACAGTGAGATACCACTAAGATGACTAAAATTAAAAAGATTGACCATCCCAAATGTTGGTGAGGATATGGGGCAGCTGGAACTCTAATATATTGCTGGTAATAATGTAAAATGGTACAACCACTTTAGAAAAGAGTCTGGCAGTTTCTTTAAAAGTTAAGCATATACCTGCCATAAGACCCAGCCATTCTACTCCTAGATATTTTCCCAAGGGAACTGAAAGCATATGTCCGTTCAATGACGTGTATACAAGTGTTCATAGCAACTTTATTTGTAATAACCAAATACTGAAGATACCCAACTCTATCACAGGTGAAAGAATAAAGAAACTGTGTGTGTGTGTACATATACATCATATACAATACATATATAATGGAGTAAGATTCAGCAATAAGAAGGAATGAACTATTGATATATGCACCAACATGGATAGATCACAGAACAATTGTGCTGAGTGAAAGAAGCCAGACCAAAAAGAAGTATAGATTCTGTGGTTTCATTTATATGAAATTCTAGAAAATGAAGACTGACCAGTAGTGACAGAAACCAAGTCAGTAGCTGCTTAAGAGCAGTGGGAGAGAGGGAGATATGAATTACAAAGGAATTTTTAGAGATGATAGATATGTTCATTGCTTTGGTTGTGGTAATGGTTTCACTGTATACATATGTCACAACGATTCTAATTGTACGCTTTAAATATATGCAACTTATAGTTCAAGTATACCTTAATAAAGCTTTAAAAAAAATGTTTACCCATTAGGCACTGAGGTTATCTCATGTAATAATAATAAAACAGAGCCTTGGTGGTTAGCAGTAAGGAGACAATTCCATGACTAATGCATATTGGACTGATTATACTTTGTTTTGTTCTGGCACCATTCTCTTCACCACTCCTCCCCAATTCATCTTGAGCATAAAACTAATTATTTCTTGGTGTTTAGAGACATACTTCAGTATCAGCCTCAGATAGTAGAATATGAAGTGATTACAATAATTGTGACAAAAATTAATGCAGCAGCATTAGAAAGTTTAGAAATTGGAAAAGACCCAAAAGTTCATCAAAAGAAGGGTAGATAAAATTGTGGTAAATTTCTGTAGTCAAATTCCATATAACAGTGAAAATAATGAATTAGAAGTTATACTTATCAACATGAGTAAATCTCAGAAGTATGATGTGAAGTAAAAAAAAGCGAGTTGCAAAAGTATACATATAACCATTGTAAAGCAATTATGCTCCAGTAAAGA